CTCTCTCGCACCCCTGCGGCACATCGCGTGAGTGCGACAGAGAGGGAGCGACAAAACGACTCGTCAGCAAGCGGCCCGGACACCAGATAAAGTCTAATCTCCAGAGCGAACCGCGCCCAAAAGGCACGCTGCTGCGTAGCGACGCTGGTGCAGTATCTACGACAGCAGACACGGGGCCCGAGGGGCCCGAGCGCGAATCGGGACAGTGACCGTCCCGTCGTCCCGTCCGACGACGTGTACAGTGTACTACATGTTGCTGCTGGAAGGGGGGCGCCCGCCCCGTCCTCCCAACCCCCGCAGCGGCCCTGCGACCGCAGCGCGGAGGTGCGCGTGTACCGGCACACTGTGTACACTCTGTATGCGTGTTCCGTCAGTTCCGCGACTGCAGAATAGCCCCTCCAGCGCTGCAGGCGGCTGCAGACCTGACCAGGCCCGCCCCGCCCCGCCCCGCCCCAAGGCACCCCGCCCCGGCGTTGGCCGCGCCAAGAACAGGTTTCGGCCGGAATTAAAAACCGCGGACATAATCGATCATAGAGGCACCAGAAAAGAAAAGTGGGAGTCGGAGCGATACGAGCGGCCCAAGCGGCCCCAGGCCTGAGAGTCGTTTTCGTCGCTCTGTCTCGCCCGCACTCACGAAGCGTGCCGTGCAGGAGAGAGAGAGAGAAAACGAATCTCTGGATCAGTCTCCGGGCAGGCACACGAGGAGGCAGAGCGAGCGAGAGAAACAAAACCGCTGCGATTGCATATGCACACTGCTCGTTAGGTCTCACCAGCACACACAGGGCAAGGTGGGAGGAAGGGGGAGAGTGAGGGGAAGGGGGTGGGAGGGGGAGGGAGGGGAAGGGGGAGAAGGATGGGTCTCGAAACGGCGACGGTCGTCGATGGGCGCGCGTACGAGCAGCCTCCCCCTCTACACACACATGCGCTCGCGCGCGCTCGCACACACACACACACACACACACGCACAAGAGCGCGCGCACTCAGCGTCCTCCCCTCCCCTTCCCCGCCAGGAGTCGGCCGGGTTTCGCGCCATGAGGTACAAAAGGAAAGAAACGACCGAGAGGAAGCGGCGAGGGGGAGGCTTCAATAGAAGGGTGGCCGCGCCGCTGCACCGCGGGCGCTGCATCGTGTCAACAAAGCCACCTTGTTGTTAATTAATAAGGCGGAGAGGCTGGAGGGACGGACACAGAGGCCCGAAGCCTCGCCAGGCGTCGCCCGCTCAGACGTTCCAGTTCCAGACAGCTCGGCCGGTCGGACGTCGTCGGCGCTAGAGACGCGCTGCGGCGTTAGATGTCGTTCGTCAAATGGGGCCGAGGAGTACAGTCCAAACGGGGCTGCAGAAGCGCAGTCGGCCCAGCAGGCCAAGCGGGATTGGTCTCAGCTTAGGTCGAGCCGACCATAAAGTGACGGCCGGGATGCAACCTCGCTTTGTAGGGGGGAGGGAGGCACGGCGTGGCGCTGCTTGCGCTGCTGCAACGAAAACACGTGAGCAAGAGAGGTTATGGCCACGCTGGCTGCGCGGCTCGCCACGGCCCGGTTCGCCTCGGCTGCCTCGGCACGCTCGGCACAGCGCGGCACGGCGGCGGGGGTTGGCTTTGGCTTGGCTTGGCTTCTCGGCTGACGCGGCCTGCGGCCTCCTCCTCGCCTCACTTCTCGTCCTTGCCCGCGAGCAGGCAAGCGACGAGAGACCGCGCTGACGCTTACAAAATTTGTTGGCGCGCACTCGGCTTTCGTTTTCACGTTGAATCAGGGCCCGGGGTTTAGACGAGACACGCTTCCGAACCGGGTGGGAGCTTGTGGGCGCGCGGCACGCTTGCAGCACGCCGTTACCGGTCTCTCGTTTGCACCGACGCGCGGGAAGGGGGAGGGGGAACAGCCACGCTTGACCCAAGTTGACCGCCAAACATCCTGCGACCGCTCTCGACAAAACGCAAATCGAAGTGAAAATTCACACGCAGTTGCAGGCCCAACCAACTGTTGCAATCCGTCTTTGGGCCTGGAGCGGTGCCAACGCCCGAGTCGATCGGAGGAGAGGGAGGAAGACGAGGTGGAGGAGGCGGAGGAGGAGCAGGGCCTCAGCGCGGCAACGCCGCCGCCAGCGCCCCGCCGCGCCGCCGCCGCGCCGCACAAAATCATCATCCAAATTTTCGACACCGTCGAGTCGTCGGCCGACACGCCAGACGCTTTGTCACTCAGACGCTCCTTTTATATCAAGCTCCCTTGGCCTGCCGTCTGATTCCGAACACTGCTTCGTCGCTCTGTCTCTCTCGCACCCCTACGGACCTCCCCATGAGTGCGAGAGAGACAGAGCGACGAAAGCAGTGCTTGGAATCAGACGGCTGCTCCTCCGGACCCCATCCCAACTCGACCCAAGCAACCCCCTCAACCTGACCCTCCGCAACCTGCACGGCAGCCTGCCCCGCCACCGCCCCGGCCGTCTGTGTTGTGTGCAGTGTGCGTGCCTCCGTGAGCTGCGTGGCTCTGCCTGCGGCCTGCGGGTTGCACCTGTGCAGAGCGACAGGTTCGGTGCCGCATTGCAACGGCAGCGCGCGCTTTATCTTTTTATTTTATTTTTTTGCAGCCCACTCTACGCAACAACGAGGCGAGACGTAACACTTTCCACACACTGCACCGCGCGCACGGCGTGCACGGCACCACGACCCCAGGAGCCAAAGATGAGATTAAGCACGGCTTCTTCATCGGATAACGCGGGCCTGCAAACCAGATTAGCGGCCCTTAAAGATCCTGTGACCAGATTAGCGGCCCTTGGGCGCCCCGTGACCCGATTGGCCGAGCGGCAGCAGCGGCCGCGACATGCATTTCAGGACATCGGCGGAGACGAAACGCCCCGCGAGCCGAGCAAAGCGACTTGGCGACGCGTAGCCACGTCGGCCGCGTCGACCGCGTCGGGCGCGTCGGGCGCCACTCTCTGAGGCGAGGTTTCTGCGACGTCGGCATAAGAGGAGAGCGAGGGGGAAAGAGAGAGGGGAGGTAGGGAGCGGCCCGGTGAGTAACCGTAAGCAAACAAAGACCGCCCACATCTACATGAGGTCCCGTTGGTCGCCGCGGTGCTGGGCGCGGTGCTGGTCGCGAGGCCTCGGCGGGGCCGAGGGGCAGGGCGGCAGGGAGGGCACCCACATCGCTCACTTTCCCCGCACGTCACCGCGTCGTCCTCCCTCGTCCACGCCAGCCAGCCTCGGCCGCCAACAGCACGCCAAATCGAATCATCTCCGCGGGGCCTCGACGCAGCCCAGCCCGCGTCGCGGCGTCGCGGCGTCGCGGCAAGGCACGCCGCCTCGCAACGGTACACGCAGCCCTTTTGGAGGCGGCCGGGCCCCGCGTCGCGACGCGGCTGACGCGGCGGGCCAACCGAAGCGTGCCGCGCACCGTGCACCGCGGGCAGCCTCTGCCAGTCGGCCCTCCCGACGGCCCCCCGGCACTGGGGCCGCTGGAGCCACCAAGCACCAGGCCGCTTCAGCCCCAAGACGGGTTTCCCCCGCCCATTCAGCACTGCTGATTGCGCCCGTTTGTACTATCGCACCCGGAGTCCCGGACGCGCCGCTCAGCTCCTCGCTTTGGCGCCGAGAAGCATCGCATCTTCCAGCGTGGCGGCCTGGCGTAGCCTGGCGGGGTCGCACCGGGCGCCGCGACGGCCGAGGCCGGCCCACTTGCCACCAGCAGTGCAGGGCACCGAGAGGGGCCGTCCAGACCGTGCGGCGCGGCGAGCGCGGCGCAGGTTCAAGGGCACCGAGACGGCTTTCTCGGAAGACGGGCCGGCCCCGGCCTGAGACGAATCCTAGAGCACGGCCCGGCCCGGCCGTGTGGCCCTTGGATGGACAACGGCGCCGCCATTCAGGCACGGCTTGCGATTGATTCCCCGAGCGTGCGCGTGTTTCGCGAGCACCAACACTGCGTCCACGCACTCACGCGAACGGACGCGTACACGGGAAAAAATAAAAGACACATTCCAACAGGTCCGCGGAAAACGCCCTCGAGCTACGTCGAGCAGGTTGTTCCCGATTACGGACATGTTCCCGCCCCGCGGCGCTTCTATTTTTCTTTCCCTTTTTTTCGCGCATTCGTTTTCCTTCGCCTCGGCTGTCGCGTTTTCCAGCTGCCCGGGAAACAAGGTGGAACAGGGTAGTGCTATTGTGGCCGGCAGGCCCGGCAGGTAGTACTTTGATGCTTGTTCCGTCCGTTGCTTCCCACAGCGCAGTCTCTCCCTCCCACTCTGCAAGCCAAACGAGAGGCACGGACGTGGCGTCACCGTCCGTCACATGGGACCAAGCGAGACAGCCTGCCTGGGCTGGCGTCGGCCTGGCGTTGGGCTGGCGTTGGCCTGGCCGCGCGCACGCAACACGTACGCCGCGCGTACATATCACATGATGGAATCTATGACCCGGCAAGCCAGGCCGCCGGGCCAGCCTGCATAATGAGTTCCTCTCGCTCGCTCCGCTGGACGCCGTCGCTCTCCGTCCTCGTCGCACGCGCTTGCAAATGAGGCAGGGGAGGGGAATAACCCGCCACTACCGAGCGGTTATTTTTTTCGTTTTTTGTTATCGTTAGTCTTCCGTTGCGCGCGCGGCGAGCGGTGAGCTATGGACAACACCTGAGAAAGCAATGAACGAGTAGCAGCCGTCGCCGCGCCCGCCACCCGATTGCTCATGCTGGTCAGCGGGCACCCCTCGCGTCCCCCACGCGGCGACCGCGCCGTCGGCTTGCGGACCAACATCAACGTCCTGCGCTAGACGCGCTAGACGAGTTCCTCCGCGGTCCTGGCCGTGCTGACGGCCTGACGGCCTGACGGGGTGCCGCCACGTCGGCGCCACGTCGCGCGGTGCCGCGGTGCCGGAGGAGAGGGGGCGACTCCAATTGCTTCCAGAGTCCGCGGGGCCCAGGCCAGGCCCAGGCCGCGGCCGCGGGACCCCTCTCTCCCTCCTGGCACGGCGCCGAGCACGGCGCCGACCTCGACACTTTCACCAAGCCGATGATGCACTCACCTGTTTTTTTCCAGCTCGTTATGCGTTGTTCTGTAAAGCAAGCGGGCAGTGTGTCAGTAAAACGCATCAAATGTAAGGGCGTAAGGCGCACGGCGGGCCGGGCGGGCCGCAGGGGACCTCGCAAGGCACGGCCAAGGCTTACCTATCGCCGGGTGACAGGGACCTCCGGAACGAGCCGCTGCTGGTGCTATCCCGGTGGTAGCTTTCGCTATCACGCCGGTGGCGGTGGTGGTGGTCGCGGTCGCCTCTACTGCTGCTGCTACTGCTGCTGCTCGCCGTGCTAATACCGCTGCTGCTGCTTATGCTATGATGCTTCTCCCTGTAACCACTGCAACAAGAGGAAAACAAAATTCAAACGGGGAGACTGGCTTGAGAGTCCCTGCTTTGGGCGACGGTGGGCGCGGGGGCGGAGGACGTGGGAAAGCGGAAACGGAACGGGGTGGAAGGGGGGGGGGCGTCGGTGTGGTCCCGGGTCCGTTCGCGAGGCGCCCCGGCTGGCCCGCCCCCACTCCCCCCTCCCCCTCCTCGCCGGTCCACGTGGGGTGTGGGGTCAAACCCCTTGGCCACGCCACTGGCCGCGCAGGCCGGCCGGCCGGCCCTGGCGCCGACCCGCAACTCGCTGCACTTCTGTCTCACTCGCACCAATGCATATTGATGGCGTCCGTCGATGCGCGGCATGCACGGCCGCCATTCCACAGTGCAATATCCTTTTCGTCATCGCTTCCTCCCGGACGAAAAGTGGCCGCGGGTCAACGACCCCCAGGAAATAAAAAGGTAAACTAGCGCGTCGCCTCCCAACTACCCCAGACAACCAGCCTCTAGCCGTCAAAAATTGAGACCAGGCTCTGAACCTCCCCGGCGCCTCACGCCCCACCTGTGGTCAGACCGCCCAGCCCCCACCCCGATCAAAGTGCACTTGGGACTTGGCCCGCACTCAAGGCCCTCAGGCTGCCCAGGCCGCCCAGGGCGCAAATCGAGGCTACGTACCTCCCTAACTTGCAAAAGCAGCCGTGAGCCGCCCTGCCTCGGCCGGGCCGGCGCGCCGTGTGCCTGGCGTGGCCTGGCGGACCTCATGGGGGCCGCCTTTAGGCCGACGGGCACTAGAGGTCACGCCGTGTCCCACGCCGTGTCCCTGTCCCACACCCCCGGCTACTCGAGCGTCCCCCCTGGCCCACTATGGCCCGCCTCATATCGCCCGCAGATCAGTCGAGATCAGCTAGGAGGGCTCACCACGCCATCAGCCAGGTCTCTTCGGTTGGCCAAGTCTTGCCAGGCCTTAGCTTTATCAGATAATGTGCAAATTTCAGCAGATAGGGAATTTGCCAACACAATGACAAAACCAATAATCCTATTTTCACTTTCATCGCAGTGGTGAGAATCACCACTAAGACAAAATGTGGCCTTGGATGGCAGGTTGCCCTGCAATCGGCTTCTCGCACAGCAATGCACTTGAGCACAAGAGCTACTTTCAACAGATATATTCAGGAAGTTTATGATATTTTAGAGCAGGGTTTAGAAGTGCTATCATAAAACAAGTACCAACCAGCAGACTTTTGCTGAGGTGATGTTTAGAAAGAGATAGAAACCACACATTGCTTAGAATTAGGGTGATTTGAGAAGCTAAAACATAACCTCACTTTCTCCCCCCCCCCCCCCAAAAAAAAAAAAATAGTAACAAGCCATTTAGATGATAAATTCATGGTTTAAGTTGTTCTGTAAGAGCTAGGCTACCATCATCAATGAATACACAAATTCTCTGGTACACTAATTGTCCTTAAATATCAGTCTAGGAAATACATAAAAAGCCTGGAAGCTAGTGGCATGGAGTGAACATGGGGGAAATTCAACACTAGGACACAATTATCAAACACTTAGGATTGGAGAGTCCGGTATCAATAGCCAGAAAATGAATAAACAGCCCTAGATGAGTCTTAAAATTAACAGAAAGGGTGGATAGGAACTGTGTGAAATTCAACACTTGACCAGTTTCAGCTCTTCAGTGGGGCTTTTCTTGAAAGAAAACTCCACAATGGTAATTCAAAGAACTTTCTCTTCACCAGTCAAATAAAACTTATCACTTTCGAGACACTTGGGAGGCTGAAGCCAAAATGAACGCCACTCCCCTACAAAACTGTCTTACTACACCTACTGCACTAATTTAATCTATCCAAGCAAAACACCAGCTCAGTTTGAGGACACTTCAGAATATTTCACTGATTGCACAAAAAGCCATATAGCTGAGGGGAGTCCAAAATCACAAACACCACAAGAAACGGGTATGCACCATATCACAGGCTTCAGAATTTTCACAGGAGTTCTGCCCCCTTTCCACCAGATAAAAAAAATACCTCCATCTTCATGGAACACAGAATGCGCCAATTTCCACTACCAAAGATAACAGCCACAAAAGTTTGAGGAATGGATCGGTTGTTTACCTCCCAAAACAATGACCCTTGCAGTGACACTCAAAGAAAATTTTCACAGACTCTCTTTTCTCACAAAGTCAAACGTGGTCACTCCACTTTCCCCAACAAAAGCCTTGGCCATCCGTTAAATAGTGTACTCTCATCGATGAACTGAGGAAGAACGAGCGGGCGGCTGGTTTACCCGCCCAGTTAGTTCACTGATGACTTCGCGGATTGAGAACAATGGAATCGGACGGCCGACATGAGACTTGGTAGGTTAGGAGGGACCTCTCACAACAAGTGCTGATGGCATATCAAATATCTGATTGCTCAAGAGAGGCAGAGTCTCTGCATCTCCCAAAAAAACAGCTCTAATTCCTTCTTTGTTTACATCAGAGAAAGTGATAGCCAATTTTAAGGTGAGAGATCTTACCTGCCCCCGTAAGATTTTTTCGTCTTTGGCCTCTTCGCCATAGATTTGAGATCATCCGGCATAGGTAATGAGGATGCGTATCCATGTTCTGCTTCTGAAAATATAAATGAGAAAGCGTCAAAAAATCAGCTGACCCGGGTGAACAACACAAAGTGACAAGGAACTCAGCCATGTTGACGTGGATTCCGGCCAAAACCGCACAAAATTACAGCAAAACTCACCTCTTTCTCTCCTCTCCAAGAATTCCGCTGCTTGTAGAAGTGCATCAATGCTCATATTGTAAATTAAAAGTTGAGGTTCAATTTAAAACGTTCGGACAAAGCGCAACCCGACGAACCGCGACCGTTCAACCCGCACCCACAGTACTCACTATAGCATTTATTGATGTCAAAAGCTTCGGGGGAGTTGACGGCCTAGCGACTTTGCAACGCGACCCACCATTGGCTGCCGAGGGCGCGACGTCGGAGCGGCAGCCAATGGGAAGCGAGATTCGGTGCGGTCGAAGCGCTCAGGCAGTCACGTGAATCTCATGCCTTGAAACAAAACAAACAGCTGGGCCAGGCGAGCGGCTTCGGCTCACTTCGGCTGCACTCGGCGGCGTTCGGGGGCATTCGGAACTCGCCGTGCCACGCTGTGATTGGTCAGCCGGCCGCTACCCTACGCGCGCCCGCCAAATCGTGCTTGGCGTCTGCTGCTGTCAAGCCCGCTTGGTCGACGGCTTCGCCCCCCTAAGCCTAACCGAAAGACCGAAAGGGCGGTTAGAAAGAGGCGTGGGTACGAAGGGTCGATAAATTTCAAATAAATTTATGAATTTGATGGCTATCAAGTGTGAAATCACTGTCCTAGGCGATTTGCATCATACAGTAGGAGGTTAGAATGCCCATGGAACCACGTGACTCTCACGACTCCGTGCGCATGCAGTCGTCAGAAAAATTGACCACCCTAGACCAGGCACGTAGTGCCCGGTGGACTTGAGGAAGATACCCACTATGATTGCCACCCTTCGAAGCAAAATAGAATGGGTAAGCAATAGTTTCAGAAAAAACATCATTAGAAGTACTTCAGGGATCCTGTCTTGAATTGATTTAAATATTACACAGTAATGTGATCGTCGAAACCAAAGAGTAGTTTACTCAGACTTTACATCTTGAATTTCATTTATTTACATGTCTCAAGATTCGGTGAATCTTGGCAGACCTGCCATTTCGCGCGACGTGGCAGAGCGGTCGATATTTGACACTCGACGCGGAAGTGACCATGTTAAAAATCGCTCTTTCCATCGTTTCTACATGCATGGATTTTTTTAGGGTGAAAAAGAATAGGAACATGGTAAAATTCAAGATAGAATTTATTTCAGGGGAATGTCACCAAATCTCATAAAACTGACCCCCATCGTAATAAAGATGATACAAAATAAAAAAAAAATCGGGAAAAACACAATAGTAAAACAGAAAAACTTTCTTCAGAAAAAACCAGTTAGCTATCTGAAATTCGACATCAATATGCGAAATAAGACAGGTTAAAAATACCTCAATCACTTTTTAATAACATGTCAGAAAGTGTTCTACACAAAAAGAAAATTAAGAGGCAGTTACTTTTAAAACCATGCAGGCGCGGCTCTAGGGGGAGGAAAGGGTGAATGATGGTGGATGACCCATCGGCGCCTCAAGGTAGGCAAAAAGCGTTTCTTTACTTTCCCCCCAGCATATAGGCAATTGCCTCCTCCTTGCAAAAATCCTTGAGCCGCGCCTGACACAATTGTTAGATCGTAATTTTGTGATAAGGGATACAATGACAAAAATAGTTGTTTTAGATAAAAACTTAACATTTGCTTAGGGAATCAATAAAAATTAGCTTTTCTTCTCCCCCTCTCAATTATCCTTACAGTTTATGAGTGCAAGGGTTTAGAGTGAGAGAAGAAATAAGATCATTAAAGGAGATGAGGTATGGTAGCATATGAGGACAAAACACATGTCTATTTCATAAACAGTATTATCATACAAATAAAATAAATCAGTCTTCAACTAAAATTAGCTGATAAAAGTATTTACAACCCACAAAAAGGCTAAGTTGCAATCATAAAACAAGATGATATACCATACTTTCAAATACCACAGCTAAGCATCACACATCACACTCTTAAATGATTGGACATATAAAAGTTCAGAGATAAAAATGTACCAACAGATGTTTTACCAAGGGCAGTTATTAATGCCAACAGGTAATCAAATAAATAAATATTCAATTTATAGCAACAAAAAATTTCTAAACAAAATTGGACAGTTTCTGATCACATGCAAATGAAATGTGTTTACAAAGCAAGAAGGAACATCATTATTATTATTACTCTTCAACCAGTTGAAAACTGGATGTAGTCTGCAATAAATAGTAAATAAAATATACTCATATTTTCCAGCCTAATGCCTGCAGATATGTCAGTTGCTTTAAGACTAGCATATAAAAAAGGTGAGGAAAAATTTCCAACCCTTGAAGGGAGACACAAAATATTCAGCCACCAAACCATAACAGGTATAATTACTGTATGATGGTGTCTAACAAAATTTTTAAGTTGAAATGAATGAGACAGTGGGACCTTACTACCTTATGATGACATTTTGAGATGGAACATAGAAATATTGACTGGCAGCACTGGATAAAGGGTTTGATATCTGCTGATAAATTGTATATACAGTGCTAATGATATCTTAAAATTCATTTGTGGCACTAGGCAACCCTAGCAAGCTACAAGTCCCAGCTGAACAGATGATGTTTCACCAGCATGTCCCTGACTCCATCTTTGAGAGGTTGATTACTTTGCTCCTTTTTTTGTGGTAGCTCCCAGTCAGGATTTAAACTGAATGCAAACTGGGACAGTATTCTGAGTTCACATTTAATTTGCACCCATCCTGGGCTAAAGATGAAACTCCAAGGGTGGTACCTGAAAGCCGAAACAGCAAAGCTTTAGACTGCAGGTGTAGGTAAAGCCTACACAGGCAATAGTAAATTTTAAAAAAGCCTCTACAAACCATTTTTGAACAATTTCAGCACAAGAACACATAACTTCCAGCCAAAGGTGTAATACTTGTTCATTGAGACCCATACACACAAGACTGCGCAATTTGACATCCATTTGAACATGAGCATCATCATGACTCTGATTTATGGATTGTACACATCTGTACAAAAGCTGAAAATTTTAAGTCAGGATCAAAGGTTTAAAATTAAAAATATAAATCGCCACAACAGGATAAAGAGAGAAAAAAGTACCTCTTCAGGAGTCAAAACTTTTCCATCCTCATCAAGTCTGAAGGTTTTACACAGCACAAGTCTGCTATAGACTGAGTTGAAATCTCGCTCCACCTCTCTGGTGCAAGCCTCTTCTATGAACAACCATGGATGACAAGTGCCTCCTGGAACACAACAAAATCATAAAATTGAAAACTAGAATTACAACGGTATGCAAAAGAAGAAAATTTGTGGGGAAAATTTACCAAGAATAGATGGTTTTTTCATTCCATGCTCCAACACTTGCTTGATGGCAGGACATAGAGTTCCCCGAACAAGATCAGTAACAGCTTCAGAGACAGCATCATCTCCAGCACAAGAATATTGCTTGCTTCTTTCATCTAGTAACTCAACAAACTTGGCAGGGAACCAACCTGTAAATCATGGGAAGAGAAAAATAAATAAGCAAATAAACTTTTGAACTGCAAGTACCAAATGAATCTCAAGATCTTACCTCTAAGTCCATTCAGCTCACCAACCCAACAGTGCTCATCTTTCTGGCTCACAATGGTAATTATATCGTTTTTCCTGAACCCAAGCTCATCATCATCATGCCGTTCAAAGTCTAAGACAGAATAACATAGGTCAAGCGGGGTGGCAATGCAAACCAGCATTTTGGTTTAAAAAAAAAAAAACAGACACAAAAGTATGTACCCAAAAGTGCTTTGGCACGCCTCTTCCGAGTTCGGGAAACATCAACATAGATTTCATGGTCTTTCGCATGACTTTCCATGCTGTAGTCTGGCTCCATGACCACCTTACACAACTTCGGATCCATTGACATAAAGTGTCTAGCCACTTGTAAGACAGCCTCTCGCAAGCTCACCATAATTTCTAAAAAAAATTATTAATTAAAATAACATAATTTAAACCAAAAAAATATATTTAAATGCAATAGATTGTACCTGTTTGTTTTATATTTTTTAATTTAATGTCGTCTTCACCATCCATGTCTCCGAAGAGAAGCAACTGAATCACAGATTTTGTTTTCTTCACCTGGCGCCTACAGAAGTGGGAAAACAACATGAATATTTACCACATGGAAAATTTCATTAAGAGAAAGACAGAATTAATGTCATTCAATTTAAAAAAAAAACATTCAATTGAAGAAAAATATTTTTTCAAGGCAAATAGATAATGAAAGAATATACCTATGCCTGGTTTGGAAAGGGCAAAAGATGCCAGCATTGTGACAAAAGCAAAGTTAAACAAGCATGCATAAGCAATTAAGTGTTCTTTAAAAAGTTATTGATTTAGGAAACGACCATTTGTGGGCAAGCCTTCAAATCACTTACACAAGTATGAAAGATAGCAAACAAGGCAAAGCGAAGCTGTGATGTTATAGCAGAGAGCAGTGCTATGACCAAAATTTAGTGACAGGTCTGCCTGGCAAACTAAATAAACAATCTAGAAGGGCATGAAGGAGAACAGCAGCAAGACGTGCTGACCTACTAAGATGTTGCTTTGGCAAGTTTGGCATGTTCTCTGGATTTCCAACAAGACCACCTTGGTCTGACATTAAATATGCTAAGTGGCGTCTTCGATGTGTTTCAATCATCATATCATTCAGAGAAGATGCCACCTCAAAAGAAACCTGCAAGGCAATAAGAATAATGTTGATTAAAGAACTGAACACCGAATAGAAATGCCACATGTATTGCAAGCGTTTACCTGCAGTAGCTGATCAACATCTTCAATGTCTCCTGGGGTGTCAGATAGTGCATTAAATATTTGAGCAGAGTTTTCCAATTTTTTAAGGTCTGGTTCTGGCAGAGAGGGAAAAAGCAAAGAATGAAAGTTGATTCATTTGAATTACTTCAGACAATATAGAAGAATTTAAAAAGAGCAGTGACTGTCTTACCCCTTATCTTTAACATGCCGAGAGTAACTTGAAAGAGAACAATAGAACCGTCAAAGAAAAAGAGGTCCCAAATACGAAGAAGAATCTTCATATGCACAACAGAAGCAAAGAGAGTCAGGAACCAATGCAAAGTAATTAAGGACAGTTCAATGTCATGCTCCTTAAGTACAGAATCTAAATCAGGAAGATAGCTACAAATAAACGTTCTTAAAACCCGTTGATCAGCCTGAACACCTGCAATCAAACATTTTGTCAGTATTTGCTACAGTGCCTTGAGAACTTTAAAATTTTGCTTAGTTCTCTTAGCAAAGGTCTCACCTATAAGGGTTGAGGAATAATAAGAAGCAGGCAGCAACTCCTCTACTATTGTACTCATCATCCAAAATGCATCCTCTTCTTCCATCAGAAGAAGCAAAGAAGCTGCCATCATTCCTGTTCCTTGGCAGTAACTGAAACAAGACCAAGCCACTGCAAGAGTCCAGCCATGACCACAAAAAGGGATTCCAAAAGTTTTGTCATTTAGTTAAAAATACTAGGTTTTACTTACCCTATCTCTGGATAAAGCCAAGCAAGACCGCGAAGAACCCTTCGCAGTCGAGGAATACCAGTACTTGAGAGTTGACTGAAGCAGGCATTGCCTGGCAAAGTCCTCAGCAAATCTTTTTCTATTTGCTTTGATGTCATTAATGCGTCACTGCTTGATGCTTTCACTATATCTTTGTAGCTCACCTCAGAAGTTGTTTTCTTCTGAAGAGCACCTGTAGGAATAAAACAAACGAGTTGACCACTGGACAAGAACAAAATAAGATAAGAAAAAAAATATTTATGGAACTCACCAGAAAGTCTCATCCACACTTGCGGTCTTAATGAATGTGGAATTCCTGCTCTAACCATGTTTCTCAATTTTTCTGTCCGAGGAAGAGACGTTTCAACATTGTCCCATGACAGGTCAGAGACATCTTTGTTGTGACTGAACTCTAAATGAGCAACCCACTGCAGTCTGAAATATTTAAGAATGATAGAATTGAATAAAGACTCACAGCAGGCATATAAGGATTGACTTCAGCAATTTAATTCTCTTACCTATGCTGAGGGTCTTCAACAAATGGTATACCAAGTAATTTATTTGAGCTTTGTTCTGGACCATCTTCTTCTTCAACACGAAAGCCAAATTCATCAAACCTGTAAAAGTGAAAAAGAATTAGCATACATTTTAGATGCCTTTTTACATGAGCAGATGCAGAGGCAAAATGAAAAATCATTTAGAGCAAATCAGCAATGATTTCAGACAAAAGTACCTGTATTCAGGTTGAGAGTTTGGGTCGTCTGACTGCTGTCCTAGTTTCAGAAGAATGTCCTGTGGCCACATAGACGGTGTCAGGGCGGAAAATGGACCACCAGGAACAGGTGCTGGGCCATCTTTATCAATGGCAGAGCTTTCACGGAGACCATCCAAATAGCTATTTAAATAGCTGTCCTCGTCATCAGAACCGGCCGTCTCTACTTTGTCCTGCACAGAAAATTATTTAATGAGTAAAACATTCTTTTGCTAAAGGTGCACCACACACAAACTGCAACATACATTGTAGTCTTCCTTTCCACTATATCCCTCATGTGGTCGGGAGCCGAAAATTGTTTTGGCGATGTCCATTGGATGAGGTTCACACTACTTGGAGCCTGAATGAAGAAAACCATTGTGTTTAAGACTGGAATGGGAACAAATCAATTACAACACCCTGAAGATAACAGTTATGAATGATATGAAGTAAGCCATTTAAGAAACATATGAAGCAGCAGCTGCCTTATGGGGTCCTCACACAAACCGAAAACTCTTCCCATGCGTTTGATTTTAGATCAAACCAGGGGCTGAACCAGAAGGGTCAAAGTTTATTTTAGAAATCAGTTCAACTAGCTAGGGGCTCGTAACCTAACTTTTGGCACAGCAGACGTCACACAGTCCTTTAGGAGCCTTGTTACCAGCACAAGAGATAAGCACCAACTCAGAGGCATTTTCATTGACAACTCCGCCTAAAACACGGCTCGCATTTACGTACCTAACATAACAACAAACCACCTGATTACAGTGTGGGCGCCAGCTGTCATGGGTTTCAAGAGAAGTCTGCTTGCTTTGCTGCGCGTGGCGCCATCTGACGGTCATTTCCCACATCATCAACTTTTCTGACACTTCCGAGAGTGCGACAGCGGCCGCGGCCGTGTTGAGGTTGACGACTTGTCTTGCGGTCCGTCTTTACTCGTATTTTAATGCGAAAGTGAACATTTCTTTTGACTGATTTTGACGAGCAATTTTAAGGAGTACCGGCCGTGGCGGGTGTGGCTTAGTCGCGTCCCGGAGGACGCAGAGGTGAGTGAAAGCGCCGACGTCGGAGGGCGTCTCGGCTCGGGAGTCAACATTTGGCGAATATCGATTCAAACGGGCTTATCTCTGGTAAATATGGGTGTTTACCCTTCATAATATCGTGTGTCGATTGCTGTACGATAACGTGTCCTCCTTCAGCTCCTGTTTGGTCTTGAACCGTATGCGAGATCCTTCTCAGATGTAGTAAAATCCCGTTGCCCCTGATACCGTAACAGCAGACTCTTTGTTTCGTTCGCCGCTAGTAAGGATAACTCCTTATTTTGTAAACATATCTATTGGTACTTCATGTCAAACCCTTGGTCCAACCCCAAAGCACCATTTGTCGCATGTTGTTGACCACCTCTATTGGCCTGCCCATGTAAATCTTAACTTGCTCATTCGGCACATGTATCCATTAACCTCATTTAATTGGTGAAAAAGTCTATATACCCTTGCTCTCTGTTTATTGTTGATTTTTGATGTTAACTCCTCTTTGCTTTAACCACGTATCATATGTGACTGCCTTTTATAATGGTTAACTGTATTCTTTCTCCTTGCAGAGATGACTTCAATGGAAAGGAGGATAAAACTCAGAACTTTAAATCTCCACATCACCTGTAAAATATGCCGGGGCTATTTGGTAGATGCAACAACAGTAACAGAATGCCTGCACACATGTAAGTTATTATTTTTTGCAATACTTTCATCAGCCCTCGCACTGTATTTCTTTAGTCAATTTCTGATTGATTCTCATTGATGAGCAAATGCAATTGCTTCTAATTATAGCTCTCAAAATTAAGCCGTTCTAATTTTTCTTTCCCTCTTGTACAGTTTGCAAGAGCTGCTTAGTAAAACATCTGGAAGAAAACAATACGTGTCCAACATGCACCATTGTTATTCATCAATCACATCCTCTCCAATATATCAGTTTCGATCGCACCATGCAAGATATTGTTTATAAGTTGGTTCCCGGTTTTCAAGAAAGTAAGTATCAATCCCCTCTCTTATTGAGTCATGTAGCTATGTTCACTCACTTAAAGTGTGTTGTTAAGTGTTCTGTTCTTTGTAAGTTAATCTATAACTACTTTTTAGATGAAATTAAGCGTGAAAAAGAATTTTACCGCCTCAGAGATTTACCTTACCCCAAGGATATTCCAGCCATGGGCTCAGAAGCGGAGACTGAACGACCCTCTGCAAATGGGGTTCCCGAATGTGACTTCCATCGCATGGATGAACAGGTATTTCTATTCTGTTCTTGATTCTGTGCCTTATATTTCTGTCATGACTTTGTTCTGAGCACAATATAATCAACACTTTTTCTCATTACAGGTTAATATTGGCTTAGAATGCGCTGTAAGCAATCTGAAGAGTTTAAAACGTAGATTTCTTAGAGTTTCTTCTCACGCAACTATAACACACTTAAAGAAATTCATTGCAAAGAAAGTACTTGATGGAATTGAAAAATATAGAGATGTAAGTTTTATGAATTCTCAGTGAGTTTTTAAAGCAATCAAAACTTTCATTATTGCTCATTCACATTTCTCTCTGTTACAGATTGATATTTTATGCAATGATGAACTTCTTGGAAAAGACCATACACTTAAATTTGTTTATGTCACAAGATGGAGATTTCGAGCTCCACCTCTTCGGTTGCAATATCGTCCAAGGATAGATTTATGAGTTACAATTTTTGTATCAAACAAATTTATATTCATAGAGATTTATACATGCATTCAAATCCTTTGCATGAATTGTTAGAACATTTTCATTATCTTCCTACAAATTTTCAGCCAAATTTTCATTTTTGTTTGGTTGTAGTCAATGTAAGGTATTTTTGGTTACAAGCTATGAACTCTAGAAAATACCAAAACCTTGGGATTGATTATACTTTCTTTTGGTTCTTTTTGAACTGGGTTGTTTGTATTTAATTTCTTATTATCCAAAGTTGACCTGTTCCACTCATTGAGCTCCAAATATTGAATTACTGTGTCAGCTTTTGTACTAGAACTTTGTTTTTCATTGTTGATTGTTTTCTTTATTTTACCTGTTCTGTTCCATTTATTTTTTTCCCCTTTGTGATTTGTATAGTGTTACCATTTAGTTTCCTTTTGTCTTGTCCTTGCCACTCTTCTTTTTTTTTTTTTTTTTTTTTTTAATGTTTCAAGCAGACAAGGGCTGCTTTATTGGACTTTGCAATGTCCTAAATGGATGTGCAATGTTTGAGAAAGGGCTTTCAGGTTTTTTTGTTTGTTGTCTTCAATTATTTAATGAAATTGTATCTTGAAGGTTGTTATAAATGAAATTGCAAATCATACTAATTTTTTCTACATGTCATCACTTATTTTAATGGACTGATGTTGATTTTGGACCAATACTATACTATGCTATAAACATTTAGTGATTATGTTTATTCATACATTGAGTGGTGTTAGTCCTTCTTGTATTACTTTCTGTTCTAAAATGTTATCTTTGCCGATTCTTGTAGTGGTTCCTTTACACAAACTACACCATTTGTGTCAATTTTAATGAGAGCTTAGTTGAGATGAAATTAATTTGACTTATGTTTGCTTCTGTCTCTCAAAGTCCAACACAAGTCTTTGTTTAGAGTGCAGATTACCCTATGTGTGAGGCTTGTTTAAAATCAATTTGAAGCAGATGGCCAAGTAGTGTTGAATCAAATATTACTGCTTTGCAAATGTTAACAATTTATTCATTGATTTTTGAGTGCACAGTAATGTCCCGAAAAGAAATGAAATTTTGTGATTGTATTAATTTACTTTGTCGTCATTCATGCCTTGCATAAAGGGCAGTTGAATCTGTTCAAATTTAGAATGTAGTGAATTATTGTGATATTACCTCAAATTGATGAACAGGGAATTCATAAATGCATTTTCTATTTTTATCATCAAAGGTTTAGTTGTTTAACTTGAGTTGAAATTAGCTCAAGTTCTTGTTTAAGTAATCCTTTTTTTTTTAAAAAAAAAAAAAGAAAATCTTATAATTTGAAGGTTTATGTGGCTTGACTGATGTGATTGTTTTAAGCATATTTCGTAACTTAAGCTAAACTATTTACGGTCATGTGTATGTAAATAAAACTTTCTGGTTAATTACACCTTTCTTTTCAACTCTTTCCGGTTCCTCCGCAACTCCTGGCAAGGTGCTAAGGTCCTGCCAAGGTCCTGCTCTCATTTGCAAAATACAGGACTGGGCTCTCGGCAACTAGATTGATTGATTAGCGGTGCGGTCCCCATTACCGGTCTGGGTGTTGTGTGGACTAAAAACATTGTACCCTCCCGGCTAGTTCATGCTAAACTCGACTCCACTCCATTGACATCGTCGGTGTCGTCTGCTAGCGGGGCGGCTTTCACTCTGTGTGACGTCACACCCACACAACCGGGACAAAAACATCAACAGAAAGCAACAGCGTTCATGAAGTACATGTCGGTTGTTTCTGATTTCAAGTGGTATGATGTTATGATATTTTCATTATAAAGAAGTCCTGTCGTGGAGTCAGTTAACTTTTATTCGTTCACCGTCTATTAATATGAAAATGTTTTTCTTGCTTCCAGTATGTTGTCCGGACTCTAACCTATTTCACGAAACGTCACGTCCTGTTGCCAAGCCTTTCGAGGAAAATTTTCTCGTGAAAAACCATCAGCTTCTGTCACTTATTATGGTAATGGACATATAAAAAGTTTCTACATTGCTAATTATATAATGCACGTTTCATATTCATGAGAAACTTCATATTCATTTCAGAACGTCACAACGATCTCATCCTACATAGTTTCGCCAATCTCAAAACATTGTTGTTTGTAGTTCAAATCTTTCATGTATTTAAAGTTTCATTCTTTCTATTGCAGGCTCGCTACTTTCCTGAGCGAGAAATTGATGGTAAGTAAATGTTTTAATGGGGTCGGCTGCTTGACACGGCATACTTAAATTATGTTCTTTTATATTTCCATTGATTGTTCCATTCATTTTATTTACATTAGATTCCCTTTTTTTTCCAATTGTTTTTCAGAATTTAGAGAATGCTTTTACCTTTTTGCTAGAAGTGAGCAGATTCGCACATTGGATGAACTCACTGTGGTAATGCGATCTCTTGGAATGAGTCCGACAATTGGAGAGCTTAAAAGGTACATGAAGGAAAAGGGAGGTAAAATGACCTTCCCTGAATTTTTAGAAGTTATGCATGAACATCGTAAGGCAGAAGATTTGCCTCGAGAAATTGTAGAGGCCTTCCGTGCTGCAGATCCTCTCAGGAGAGGTTACATTCCAGCTCGTCAGCTTCGCCACATGCTCTTACATTGGGGAGAATGCCTCAGTAGCCGGGAAGGTTTGTAATGATAACAAATTTGTTAAAAACTGTAATACCATTTGCACTTAGAATCTAACATTATACTCATTTGCAGTGGACCAGATATTTAGGGAAGCCAATGTTTCCACTAATGGTATGGTCAAGTATGAAGATTTTGTGAAGATTTGCTGTGCGCCTGTGCCAGATTATTACTAAGAGAAAAACTAATGTTCTGGCAATGTCATGTAAATACATATCATGTTTACCTTTGTTGATAAGCAACTATATCTGAGCAGTAGTGATCACATTGTACTTAAGAAATAGACTTTTAGTTTGGGCAGGGAGAGGCAGCATGCCTGACAGAACTGGTGGTGGTGATAGTTTTTGAAGCCAGGTCAGTGGACCCCCAGCCCTTCAATCCATAACATTCCAACCAGTAAATTATTTTTTATAACTGAAAAGTATTTAAGATTGTTTTGGCAACTTTAGGCCAGCTAAAGTTCTTCATATTCTAATACGACTGTAAATAAAATTATTTTACCTTCAGACTTTGTGGGTATCTTTCTCTTGTTAGCATATCTTCCTAAATCATAAAATCACAGTGCACTTGTAAAAATTAAACATTTATTGTAACTGTCGACATCACTCAAGACATCCATCAAATACAGTACTGTATGTGGAACAAGGAGCTCAATTCTAATAAAAGGTATAGAATTGAATATTAAGTTATTACTTCCAGTCACTAGAAAAAATCATGTAGCTTCTGAACACCTTAAAATTCTGCACCATTTACAATCACGGGTATGCAGAAAAATAGAACGTAAAATTCTAATAAAATCTTTAACTATTATCTCATGCAACAACCGGCAAAAAATGTTTTTTCTTAAAACATGGAAATAACACATCAATGGTACTTTAATTTAACACCTAAGATAAAACACAATTTTTTCCCCCAATTATTCTAGCACTACAGACCATATTTGAAACCTCAGTAACTTATCAACTTCAATGATCTGGGGGAGTTTTTGTAGCTTTTGGAAAAAACTGAGGCACTGCTTTAACATCATTTACCCTATTTAAGAAGCACTGCTTCAATACTCTGGCAAGTGACATGTCAAACCTGACAAACCAGATTGGCATAAAGGAGTGAGAGAAAAATACATTATACAGTAGTAAAATGCTGTACCTTCTAGCCTAAGAAGTCAGTAAGTACAGAGAAATTTCTATAGTCCTTGGCAACAGAACGATGTCGGAATCCTGAGAAGTCCATCATGTTCAAAGACTGATCTAATGCAACAAAAAGATGGGTTGCATCAAATGCTAAACTGTAAGATGGGCTGCTATGCTTGCTGTTCATGAAGTACATCTGTGGGGAAGAAAGTTTGCCTGGTTATCCATTAACACGTTGTACTGCTAAAAGGCAAGAAAGAGAAAAGCCAAAGTTCATTCAAAAATTTGTTTGGACCCTTACCTGTGAAGCCCTCGTCATTCTCTTGTCCCACATTTGTACACGCCCATGCTGGGCAGTCCCACACAGCAGTGTATGATTGTAGTCCGAAGCCAAAGAGTAGAGGACTACGTCAAAGGGGTCAGACCAGAATCGGACACAGGAGAGCGTTCTGAAATAAATTCAGTTAAACATTATGGAAATCAAAAGATGAACTGAAAGTAATTCTAAAGAGATCATGTTTACCTTATGTCCCACATGCGAACCATTCTATCATAGCCGCAAGTCACAACAGTATTAAGATCTTCCCAAAGAATATCCAGGATGCCAGCCCCACGTTTAAGGTTGTTACATGTCAAGGAAAATATGTGATTTCTAGAAAAGAATAAAGTCATCAGCGGTCAAGTGTAAAATTATATAACAGCATCATAACAGTATCATAATCATTACTTACCTCTCAATGTCAAAAAAACCCAAGGGGCATTTGGACGGTCTAAGTCCTGAAGTTCCATAGCAAAGCAAAGAATTTGATCCACTTTGATAAGCAACAGACCACACTCTATCTTCAGCAGCAACATTATATTTTAAAACAATCTTTCTATCCTCTAATCTCCACACCTGAAAACCAAATACAGATATATTCACAAGTTTATAAACAAAATTTAGTCCTAAGAATACTAGACCTTACCTTTATCCTCTCATCTTTAGAACCAGTAACAATGCTTTCTTGGCCATCAAAGTCAACACCGGTAATGTCCAAGTTGTGAGCATGCTTTTCCTCCGACAATAATCTATTCTTACTCAAATTCCACAATGACAAAGACCCATCTCTGAAAATTTGAAGTCAGTTAAATGTGGTATACAGTCATTTTACAAATAGTAACACGAAGAATCTTTTTTCAAGCAGCTTACCTTCCTCCACTGACAACCTTCCCATTCTTGACAACAAATCGGCTGACATCTTCTTTGTGGGGCTTGAAAGAAAGTGCAGGGACAGTAGCAATAGAATTTGCCCGCCTTTTCAGGGCCAAAATTTGTCTTCCTCGACTGAACCACACAATATCTTTCTCAAGTTGCAGCCATGGCATATATCTGTCCAGGAAAACATAAAGTATGTAACTTCAAGCAGGCAGGAAAAAAGGCACATCTAAGCCCAAACAATCCAGTCTTTTACTTTGTTTTGTTGTGAAGGAATATTGTTTCCTCATAACGCCCTAGGTTCCAATTTTGGGATACTCGACAGCGATCCTTGCAGTGCAAAATAGAAAACGATCTGGAACAAAAGAACAACAGGTAAACAACTATAAATGTGCAGCACATGCAAAACCATTGAACACCTTAATCCAGTTGAAAAGAACGAAAGTAAATTGGCTAGATCAAACTGTTACATGAAAACACACAGTATGATGCAAGCCGAACAAAACAATCAAGTATTTGAATCTTCAAGGCATGACACACTTCCACATGACGAGCCCAACACAATGAAGCTTCTATGGCATACTACCCTGTCGTGGGTGTCTTCGAATTTTTTGCATAATGCCCTCAAACCATGATAGTTGGGTCTACGGGACAGATGCTACTGCGAAACCCTCACCACACACCCACCATCACCATCACCATGCTTGACAGTCCAAGACGGACACCGTACCAACCTGTTCTTGACTTGCGTGGACACCTGGTTGGAAACATTGACTCTTTTGCTCCTTTCAAGCCAGACAAAGTCCTCACTGATGATGTTATTGATGCGTTTGCACGTCTGACTCAGCCTCAGGAGGGAGTGAATATTGCAGTAACGGAAAATGGACAAAAGTACATCTGTAGGCAAATCTTGGAAAAGCAGGGGATCGCACTCTTGTTCGCACTCCCCTGAGGGGTGGCGAGAGGCGTTCATGACGTGACGAGAGAGCTGTCATAGTTTGTTTACCATCTTCTAACCAAAACAATCAAACTCAACATTACATCAGTTGACGCCATGTTGGAGAAAAGGTCGTTCGAGACAATCGTTCTCGAAGTCCACAAGTGGGGGTGGAGTCGACTTTCTGTACTTCCCTCTTTTTCCGCGGCAAAACTTTTGCTAGCGACGGTTTGTCCAGCTACTTTTGATGATCGGAAAATATATCCAACGATCAATTAACTGAGGGGTATATTTTTATTTGAGTCTTGGTGATCGGAAAGTAGATTCCGCTGCACGAATTTGGAGCATCGTTTGCTGCTTCGATTTTCTTTGCATGAGCGAGAGAAGCAAGCAGTGTTTCCCATGAATTTTGAGGCATAAAAGGAAAAAGCATAGGATGAAACAGAACAACGAACCAAGCACCACTTAGTTATTGTCCTTTCACGACTTTGGTGCAGAGAACTCCCACTAGTGTCATGTGTGTGAAACTGCGCGTAGAGGGGGTGGGGCAGCAGGGAAGAAGTCAAAAGATGGACAGAGAGAGAGAGAGAGAGACGAAGAGAAGAGGAAGGAATGACTGGGTGGGAGGGAGCAGAAAATGTAGTATTGATCCGGGAGCAACCCTCGCCCAGCCAAGGGGGGGAGCGGAATCTGGGGGGAGGGCGGCACAGGAAGCTGGGTGCTGGACCAAAGCCGAGCCGTGCCGAGCCGAGCCGCGCCGAGGCATAGGACGCGCGGTGGCAGAGTTCCTGCCGTTCCTGCCCCTGCGAGCTAGGCACATCTCACCACGCACTCTCGCCATTCGGCCGCTGAAAAGGGACTCCCACGACGGCCAAGACCAAGTTTAAAAGAGCAGCACATCACCTATGACGAGTGAGTACTCGAGGGCGGACGGCAGCCTGGCCGGGCGGGGCCGAGCGCCGAGGGGGCGTACCTAAGGCGTACCCACCCCAAGTACCCAAGTACCCAGAGCACGTCGCGGCACGCCCTGAGGCTTGGCAGCCGATCCACTGCGGCCCCGCCTTGCACTGACTCGTGTGGTACGGGGTGTGGTGGCTCCTGGTGGCACCGACCCGCATCGGCCATCCCGGACGTGGTGTACGGCCGAACATGCTTACGTTTTTGAAGGCGCTCAGGGGGGAGAGGCGGGGCCAGTCCAAGAAATCCGCTTGTTGTTGTTGTTGTTGTTGTTTGTTGTTCTTGGTGTTGTTCCAGTCCACGGTATTTGCGACCTAAAGGGTGTGATTGCCCCCCCCCCCTTCCCTTCTAGACTTGTTGTTGTTGTTGTTGTTGCTGTTGTTCTAACGTCTGTTTGTCGCTCCAGCGTGATGTGCTGCGCCTACGCCGCCGCGTCGTGGTCGCGGCTCGCCCTGCTGCTGGGGCTGGCCGCGATCGTGCTGCAGGCACTGTCGCTCTTCACGGGCAGCTGGCTCCACACCAAGGAGGTCCTGACCTCCGAGGCCGAGCTCTCCGACACGCCCGCCACGCCCACCGTGCGCTACGGCAGCGTGCTCGTGCACACGCGCGTCGGCCTGCTGAGGACGTGCGTGCGCGTGGAGAAGATCAACGCTTCCTCCTACCCTTGTGAGTAACCCGTCAGTTCCCTGCCCGCTTGCCCCAGGCTTGCCCGCTGCCCTGCGGATTGCAGGGCGTTTCGACCAAACGGAGTGCTTCAGGTCCTTGGCGCTTCCTTTGCAGACACGGGTCCACAGCCGTCGTGCTTCACGCTGCCCAACAACCTATGGCAGGACGTGTCTTCCTCGGACCTGGGCATCCACCATGGCGCCGTGCCCAACACGGCCCTCGTCGTCACCAACGTCCGCCAGTGAGTGGAACTTACCTTACCTCCGACGCGCTGACTGCGCCTACGAGGCCAAAAAAGTGCTAACACCGCGACGCCCACTCTCCTGCTGCAGGTACACGCTGGTGCTGGGCTCCGTGTCGCTGGGCCTGATGCTGGTGGGCGAGCTGGCCGCCCTCGTCTCGCACTTCAAGCCGAGCAACAAGCTGGGCGTCGTGCTGGGCTGCTACCTCTTCCTCTTCGCGGGCCTCATCGTGTGCCTGGTCGTGGTCACCTTCTCCATGATGACGGAGGTGCCACGGCGCGACCTGCCCGAGGCGCTGCGCCTGCCCAAGGCCGCGGAGGCCCTGCCGCCCTTCTCGTGGGAGCTGGGCACGTCCTACTACCTGGCCGTGGCGTCGTTCGCGCTCACGCACATCATCGCCGCCGTGCTGGTGTCCGCCTTCATGAAGCGCTTCTCCTCGCTGGAGGCCATGGTGCGCGAGGTGGTGCCCGGCGCGGACCGCAAGCTTCGGGAGCACCAGGAGAACAACCTTGTCGGGCTGTGGGAGATCTACCCCAGTGAGTCTTCAGTTCTCGGCGCCCAGCCAATGTTCCATGCGAGGGGGCAAAAACTCGGGATTTTCGTGTACACATGATTCGGAACACGCAATGATGCGCATGGTTTCATTGATTTCATGGCTGATTTTGCCTTATTTCGCGACGCACCAGGGTGATGTTGAGCGTGATTGGTGTGATGTGTTCGGAAAGATATTTCGGACTGATTGGCCTGGTTTCGTGTGATTCTGCCTATTGGTCGAATTTAGTGACTTTAGTCGGATTGCTTGATTTCGCGTGATTCTCAATGATTCGCGTGTGATTTCGGGGGCCGTGTACACATGATTGCGCGAGTTTTTGCCCCCTCGGTTCCATGCTCCAGCCTGCGTTCGAACCGCGTCCTCCCTCCCCTTTGCAGGCCGAGCCATGCGGCAGCTGGGCTGCATCACGCTGCCGGGCGCCATGGGCTGCTACGGCAAGCTGGCGTCCCTGGCGTCTGACGGCCAGGCGCTGCAGAGCGCCGGGGAGCGCGCCGGCAAGTCCAAGCCCGACATTTGCTCCAGCAACCCGGAGAGCTCGGCGGACTCCCTCCAGCAGCACCTGCAGCAGCACTTGCAGGTGGACGACGCGCACATGGGCGAGGCCGGCCAGGACCACCAGGTGGGCGCCGAAATCAGACTGAGTTCCTTGCTGGTGTCCCGCTCGGCTGCACGAAACTTATTTCCGATTCCAGTTGCGCCCCGTGTCTCCCTTCGACGCGGCCGCCAGCGCGGGCCGCAGCGTGAGCCTGGGGCAGCCCATGTCCCTGACGACCAGCTCCACCAGCTCCCAGGCCGCCGCCGCCCCCGCCTCCGCGGCCGCCCCCGTGCTGCCGTCGGGACTGCCGCCGCCGCCGGACCCGCTGGCTGGCGTGTCCGTGCCCATCACCGTCATGAGGGCGCGGCCCCTCGGCCACCCCGGCGCCCACCAGCACAGGTAGCGCGTTGAATTTTCCTCCATCGTTTTTACACCCGTTATAATGATTTTTCATGGTAAAGGGGCGTTTAAATTTGCACATACGACATACGCATTGTTGTCACGGCACTGCATACGCGGTGGACCCATTCTGTCGGTGTACACCCCACCCCCTCATTTCGCTTGTTACGACAGTGAGCGATCTGCGCGCTGTCGGCGTCTCGCGTTTGATAATCGCCTCTCCTCCCGGCGTCGCCGTGCGGCACCGTGCGGCAACGCGGCAAACGCGGCGGGTCCCTCTCGACGCACGCGTGCCAGGGTGCCTCAGGGCGTTGCCGAACCGTGCGCTTCATCGCTCTGTCCCTCTCGCACGCCCACGGGCCGCGCCCTGAGTGCGAGTGAGAGAAAGAGGCTATAACGACGATAAGCGCGTTGTTCGGAATGAGCCTGTAGGGTGCAGCCGTGCAGCGGCCACCCCGAGGGCCGCTCGAGGCTCGAGGGCCGCCCCGCCCCGCCTCGCCCCGCCCCGCCCTCCGTGCATGCTCTGCAGTTCCCACGGGCGTCGGCAGCAGCGCCACCAGGGCCAGGGGACCGCACCAGGGACCGCGAGGACCGGCTGGAAAAACACGGGAAAGTGGACACCGCCGTGAAGCGATTAGCCAGCAAACAAACAAGCTGGCGGGGCGGCGCGGCGCGGGCGGCGCGGGGCGGGGGGGCGGGGCGACCCCAACGTGATTCCGTTCCGCCCCGCCCCGCCTTGTATGCCTTGGCGCTGCCCTTCGGCCGCCGCTCTACTACTTGACAGGCTTCGTGCTCCACTGCCGCTGCAGCGACATGTCGCCGTGCCGCGGCGCCACGCACCCCGATGACGTGTCGAACGTGCCCGTCGGCCACCCCGATGACGTGTCGTCGTTCTCGGTGTTCCAGGACCATCCCCTGCGGCGCGGTGGAGGACGCCACTCCTCTGGACACCTTCCCGGCGTACGGCGGCGCGGCTGACGGCACCATGACGGTGGCTCGCCGCAAGCCCGGGGCCGCCGCCGCCGCCACCGCCGGCAGCCAGGGCGTGGCGGGCGGCGCCCCCACCGCCTTCAGCACGCTGGACAACCGGTCCCGCTGCGGCAGCGCGCGCATGCACGCGCACGCCCACACGCACACCCTGCCGCACCCGCCGCGCCAGTTCTGATAAGAGCGGGCCCGGCCTGGGGGCAGCCCTCCTCCCCCTCCCCAAGGAGGTCCCCGAGGGGATCCCCGCGGGGAGGGCGATGACTGCCCCCAGGACTCCTGGGCCATCTCCTGCTGAGGCGCGCGCCGCCTGCCGCGGACTGGGCGGACTGGCTACACCGGCAGAGCCATGGGCAGAAACATGGGCAGAGGCAGCAGGCCTCGGGCCACTCTGACCGAGACTCTGACGCCCCTCCAGTGACTCACGACTCACGACTCACTGCCAGTGCAGACTGCAGACGTGCAAACCCCTCCGGACGGTGTTTCGGATGCTGCTACACTACCTGCCACGACACTGTTGTGTCAACAGCCCGACTTTATTATGTTAATTAAATGTTAGTGACGTTGGAACGGTTGTGAAAGTTGAGCCCGATGTTTGGCGTAGGCTTTACACCAGACCATCCTGCTTCATTCTTCGACTGTTCAACGGCAAACTGGATCAGATAGTTTGAACAGTCCAGGAACGATCGGGACGCCTGGTTTAAAAATTATGCGTGATACTCTGTAACGTGTTTTCATTAGTAGAAAGGTAACTTCTTGTATGTCTGCGTGGAAGGACCAGATCGATACATCTAAATTTAGGAATCAAAGAAAATATTTCACTCAATTTAAATGTCAATACATGTTTGTTAACGCGATGGACTGAATTTTCAGAACACTTTTACCTGAGTACTGAACGTTTCTTTTCCTGGAAACGGCGTCCTTGAACTTGTCTTTAGCCTCGTTAGTGTTTTAGGCGTTCGTCGAAGTGGCGCTGCACTCCAAATCGGGCATGCCCTGGAGCTGAGCGCCTTTGTCGCCTGCTCCACTTTTTAGGGTGGATTTGGCGCCCAGTTGCTGGCCATGCCAAATTCGGAGTATAGTCTTTTGTATTTTGTTTCTCTCTTTGGTTCCACAGACCGACGGAACTGAGACTAGCTTTACCGGCCTAGTGCGAACACCTGAGCGCGCGTCTCGCCGCGGCCAGTTTGGAGCGTTCTGCGAAAAGCATATCTCTGTGTGTTACGTTGGGCCAGCGGGCCCTGCGCCGGAATAAACGCCATTTTGTACCGCCAGCCCGACCCTTTCATTGGCCCACCCCTCCACCCACGCTTCACCGCCCCGGCGCCCGGCCCAGCCACCCGGCCCAGCCGCCCGGCCCGCGGCACAGGAATAACTAGAAATTCGCGGAAGCGGCGCTGCCATGGCCTTGCCTGCCATGCCTGCCATGCCTGCCATGCCTGCCGTGCCGCTACCTGCAGCGGGCGGGCGGTGGGCGCGCGGGGCCGCGGGGGTGCGAGTCTGGCTGTGCGCCTGCGGTCGGCAGCATAGGCCGGCCCGCCGCACACCTGTGCCGAGTGCCTCCGCCGCTTGCCTGCCTGCCGGGCGCTAGACTCGACGGAACTTGGCAGAGGATCATTCCTGGTCCAGCCTATCATGTTCATGTTGCTCTACCGGCACCCCCTCCCTCGTGCCGCACACTGTACCTGCGCTCCGCTCAGAGCACCGAAAAGAGGAAACGAGTAAAAAGAAGAAGCGGGGACGAATGGACAGTCGACATGGTGGATGGACAAACACACACACGGGGAGGGAGAGTGAGAGAGAGTGAGGGAGAGAGAGGGAGAGAGGGAGAGAGGGAGAGAGGGAGAGGGGAGGAGAGAGAGAGAGAGAGAGAGAGAGAGAGAGAGAGAGAGAGAGAGAGAGAGGGGGGGGGGGACAGATAGACGGACAGCCAGCTTGGCGCCGCCACGTCTGACGGGCCGGAGGGCCGGATCGGCCGGATCGGTCCGCAGGTGGGGGCGGGGCGGCGTCGCATGCTCTGCCCTCCTCCCCCACCGCGACGCGGCCAGCCAATCCGGGGCCGGCGCCGCGACGTCCGGCCGGGGGAGGGGCTGGGGGTGTGGTGCGGGCAGTGGTGCGGGGAGTGGTGCGGGCGTCCCGGACCGGGCCGGCTGCTGCGCCGCGCCGCTGTGCGCGGAGACGACTCACAGCACCGTCACTGGGATTCCGGCAGCCGCGGAGGGCGGTCGCGCAGGACTCCCGGCGGCCTCGGCGGCACCCCTGGGCCCGGGCCTTGCAGCACCCCCAGCGCCCCCGCGCCCCCAGCTCCCCGCCGCTGCCCGGTCGACTCGGAGGTCACCCCCAGGGAGGACGCGGCGAGCACGCAGTGAGTACATGTTGCTTTCCACAGCGCCTCGCGATGGCCGTGTTGAGGCTAGCCGGGCTCTGGGGCCTGGGGCTCCTCGGGCTTCCATCCCCTGACCTAACCTTGGCGGCGAGCGGCGAGCAGGCCCAGGCCCAGGCCCGCCGCGGGCTGCGTGGCAGTGCTGGCCAGTGCCGGGCCCGGTCGATGTGTCTCCGGGGCGGATCTCGTTTCATTGTTTATGGTGGGGCCCTCCGAGTCTCCGAGATATTCAATTCATGAGGCTGCTACACTGTGCAGGGGGCGGGGGAGTGCGGCGCCTTTGGGCTCGCCTTTGGCAGCGACCTGGGCCTGGGCCCGGGCCCGGGCCGTCTCACATTTTGATCTACAGGCACTCTCTGGAAGAGACGCCCGTTTCCTCGGCTCAGGGCCCGGAGAATGCGAGGGGGGGGGGGGGGAGGCGAGGGGTAGGCCGGCTAGTTTAGCAGGGCCGTCCGGTTTAGCCAGCAGGCAGCCGCGGCAGTGGAGCCCTTGTAGCCATGGCGCCTCGGCCTGGGCCACGGCCTGGGCCTCGGCCTGCACACTCCATCCCATCTAAATGCAGATTGGCCCCAGGGGTGGCGAGGCGTAGCGAGGCGCTGCCTGACAAGGGTACACTGGTACATACACCGAGGCAGTCGGCCCTGCGTGCTACCGACTCAACGATCCCCCATCCGACAAATTTCGTGTTCTAATCAGTTGATTTCATTTTATTCAGAAGGTATCAGGTGTCTGATAAAAAAGATCTATCAGTCAAGTAGGCTCTGAAAATTTGAAAAATCGATGGGGAATATTCAGGGGTTGTTTTCTGGGGATGGGGTTAGCTAGCTCCTGGAAAGCACATCACGTTGACTGCTAAGTCGGGACTGCAAAACCGCAGCTGACTTGTTCGGAACTCCTTCCTGCAAATTTCAGCGTTTTTCGCGTACATCGTATTCCGCGTTTTTTAAAAATATTTGTGGCAAGGCCCGCAAATAAGAGAAATGCGATGAAGCCTCGTCCATAGGCTCATTCAGATTCGCAACCCTCCCGCCGCCACCCCCCGCGACACGCCCAGGCACGCCGAGAGAGAGAGAGAGAGAGAGAGAGAGAGAGAGAGGGAGAGAGAGGCAGCTGCGTCTACCCTAATGCCGAAAACAAAGAACGCTCCCCCCTCCTAGTCAGATTGCATCCCCTGCAGGCGACAACCCTCGTCGCGGGGGGAGGCAGAGGCTGGGCTTGTTTTGGAAAGTGGCGTGTTGGACCTGTCTGCGCGTCGCTGCGCCCCGAACCTCGCCCCGAACCTCGCCCCGAACCTCGCCCCGAACCTCGCCCCGAACCTCGCCCCGAACCTCGCCCCGAACCTCGCCCCGAACCTCGCCCCGAACCTCGCCCCGAACCTCGCCCCGAACCTCGCCCCGAACCTCGCCCCGAACCTCGTCCCGAACCTCGCCCCGAACCTCGCCCCGAACCTCGCCCCGAACCTCGCCCCGAACCTCGCCCCGAACCTCGCCCGAACCCGCCCCGAACCTCGCCCCGAACCTCGCCCCGAACCTCGCCCCGAACCTCGCCCCGAACCTCGCCCCGAACCTCGCCCCGAACCTCGCCCCGAACCTCGCCCCGGCCTCGCAGGCCACCCACTGGTCTCCCCGTCGCCCCTGCTCCGCCCCGAGGCAGCGGTACGGCCGCGCATCCCGGATTTATTAACTCAAGATCAACACGAAATGCGCAATTTTTCGAGGGGCAAACAAACACACAAGCAAATATTAATTTCGGAAGCCCCGCGAAAGCCTTTCTTGTACTATGGACGATTCCGGACTGTAAAACACGTTCCATGTAGCTTTCCTATCAACAAATAATTGTTTTTGTTTTTTATTTTTGTGACTTTTTTGGCTGTGTGTGCCGGCTACGCAGGGCCGCGCAGGTCACAGTCGCACGCGCGTCTCCTTTGATTTTTGTGCAACGCGTGCACTGCGCGACTATGAGGTCGGTCGCGCCGGCTGCCCCGCCGCGCCACCCCTCCGCAGACGGCACACCCTCCTCGCCCCGCCCCGCCCCTCGCCCGTCTGCCTCCCCTCCCGGCCCCCCGGGGTTCGGGGCTGGACCGCGGAATAGGGGATGGTGCGGACCGCGACCCCTGCCTGCAGCCCTGTCTGCGGCCCGGCCGGCACCGGTCGGCACCGTCCCGTCCGCGCGTCGAGTCCGTCCAGTCCGCCGGCAGAATTAGCGCGCAGACAGTGGGCCAGACGGATCGCCAGACGCATTCCAGCCAGACGATTGCGCACAATTTGCTTTATAGGTATTCGCGAATCGAAAAAAAAGGGAGAACAAAACAAGCACAATGAAACAAAAATGTTTCTTTTTTTTTCAGTAAATTGTCTTGCTGAGTCAACTGTCGTGGTCGAATGGAAAATATTTGCCCATAAAAGTGATTATGCGGACAACTTTTTATTCCCGATGCACGTCGGTCAATTCATACGATTCGTCTAGGCGAAAAAAGAATAAAAAGCAGCGAGGGAAGGTTGAAGTTGCGCGCAGAAGCAGCTGCTGCACTCTCAATTCGGGTAGCGGCGCGACCGCGGAGGCGATGAATGAAAAACCTAAAATAAAATGGAGCGCTCGTCGCCGAAAAGGGACACAATGGCACGGTGCAGCGTTGGCTCGTGCGAGTCGCGCGTGCCGCGTGCGCGTGCCGGACCGGCCGCTGACCGCCCCTTCCAACCCTTCCAACCGGTCCGCCTATTTGCGTCGGCTCACTGAATGTTATTTCCCTAATCAGAAATGTTGTTCTCATCGGGCCAAAAGCGACGACGCAGCAATCCGGAGCCGGTTCTGCAGCCCCCGGCAGCCCCTCCCCTCCCCG